GGCAGCATTATTTGATAAACGGTATAGAGACAATTGATTAGCTATTCAGGAAAAAAGTTACACCTTCTCTCACACCACATATCCAAATAAATACATTGTAGGTGATGAAAGAGTTCAATATTAGTATGGGTTGAATTGTAGCCCTTGCCAAAAAAAAAAAAAAGTTGAAGTCCTAACCCCTAGCCCCTCGGATTGTGACCTTATTTGGAAACAGGGTCATTGTGTATGTAATTAGTTAAGATACGGTCGTACTGGAGTAGGGTGTGTCCCTACTCCAGTATGACTGGTATCCTTGTAAGAAGACACCATGAGAAGGCAGAGCAGAGATGGGAGTTCATGCTGCCGCCACAAGCCAAGGAACATTTGGGGCTACCAGAAGCTGGAAGAGGCAAAAAGATCCTCCCCTGGAGATTTCAGAGGGACCATGGCCTGCCATCATGAGACTGCTAGTCTCCAGGACTGTGCGACAATACATTTCTGTTGTTCTAAACCACTCAGGTTGTGGTGCTTTGGGTTACAGCAGCCCAAGGAAACTAACACAATGTATAAATGAGAATCATTTTTAAAATTTAAAGAAAATATTGGTGAAAAATGTATATGCTTTCAAAAGCAATAAGGACTTTATAAGCATAAAAATGATAGAAAAAATCCAAGGAGAAAATCAATACTTTTTAGATATTAAAAAAAACTTAAACAAACATAAAAAATAGCTTTACCAAAACTAAAAGTTAAACAGCAAACTAGGAGATCTAATTGCTACAAAATGACAAGTAGCTATTATTCTTAATATATAAGAACTCTAAAAGCCCAGTAGAAAATTAGATGAAGAACACAAAGACAAATTCACAGAAGGCACATGACTGTGCACATAAACTATGTTTAAACTTACTAGTAATCAAATCCATATAAATTAAAAGATGACAATTTTTGCCTTTCATATTAACAATGCTTTATGTGATAGTACTTAATACAGATAAGGATACAGTAAAAATTGTACCTCCCAATTATATTGTTCAAAGTCTAAATTTCTACGTTTTTTAGAAGGCATTCTGGTGCTAGATATAAAGAGATTTTTAAAAATTCACACCCTTTGATGAAGTAATTCTTCTAAAAATGTATCTTAAGGAAACAATTAAAAGTTAGGTAAATATTTACCTACAGAGATCTTCATCATTGAATAATTTGTAATAATAATTTGTCCCTTTAATAGTCGTCAAAATGCCATGGCTCTCCCCAGACAAATTAGAAATAGCCTCAGTGTCCAACAATACAGGAACCTTGCACAATTATGTAATGCTAAATTATGCAGTCATTAAAGGTGGTGATGTCACTTTCATGACATGGGAAATACTCACAATAAAAATGTAAGACAAAAAAGCTCACTATGATATGTATATTATAAATCAAATTTTACAAAACACACACCTGCAGGGGAAAAAAAGAGTTAAAACAAGCCAGAATATTTATCTTTTCAGGATTTATGAATGGTTTTGACTTTTTTATTGTGATTAAAAAAAACATATAGCATACAATTTACCACTTAAGTATTTAAAAATTTGTTTAAATTTTGGTGGTGAGGTGATTAGGTTTATTTTTTTATTTTAATGGAGGTACTGGGGATTGAACCCAGGACCTTGTGCATGCTAAGCATGCACTCGTGCCACTGAGATATCCTCTGCCCCCTCCTGGAACTATTCTATTTGAGTTTAATGCACCCATCCTCTTGCAGAGAGAAAGAGAGCAGAGACAAAGGGTTCTTCCCCTTTGCCAACTGTACCCTCTGCACAGCTGGCCATGGGCAGGAGACTCTGGCTGGCAGCTGTCCCTGCAGACAGGAGCAAGGGTAAGTGATTTCCTGAGCAGCCACTTTAGTCCTAATGTCCCTTTAATAGTCCTCGTCAAAATGCCGTTGCTCTCCCCAGAGGTTTTCATGACTATGGAAAATAAATAGCCATTATCTGACCTCCAGGGGAATGGAGATGTCTGCAGAATTCCGGGAAAGGTAGTTATAAAACCACGTACAGCCAAGCCACCCTTTCAGTATCGGCAACCCCAATGCAAAGCCAAGGTATGGAGCCCTAATTATCAAGGAAACCACAGAATAAGTGGAGCCACTGCTCAAAGTTTCTTTTCACCTATTTTGATGTGCGTGAGGACATCTGGCTTCTGTGGGGGGCAGAAGAGAGAGAAAGAGGAGGAAAGAGAGAAAGAGCTCCAGCAGCCATCCAGCGGGCGCCATGATCATAACTCTGCAAAACTGGACCAAGCACTTGTCACAGCCAGACCACCTTGTCAGGCAAGCTTCAGCCGCTTCTTGAATGACCAGCCTGTCCCCATCCTGCCTGGGAAAGGTCAGGAAGGGAAATGAGGAGGAAGATGTTTTTCTTCATGCTATCTCTCCCATGCTGAGAAAAGCTTCAAGCCAGGAGGGGATGGAGGAGCCCTGACTTCCTGCCCCCACTCACCCCTGGGTCCTGGTGGCCCTCTCATATGGGATGGAGGGTCCCAGGAAGGCCTGGGGTCCTGGGCTGAAGTTGATTGGCAGCTGTCCAGCTCTGCCTTTGTCCATACTCCAGTATTTTGATCCAGTGGCTGTGGCTGTGGCCCTGCCCCTCTCGACAGAGCACTGACCCTAGTGTCAGAAAACTGAGCTGGGATCCCAGCCCCATTCCGTTCTGTTTTCCTGGTCTGGGCCTCAATTTTCTGTGTCCCTGAAATGGAGATCGTGATCTCATCTGCTTAACACATGAGGTGGGTATGGAGTCTGACCTGGCAGGGGAGGCTGCTTTCAGACTACCAGTGGACACTGCTGGCTTGGCAGGAGCCAAAGCTCTCTGCCTCTAAGCTGTTCTTCCTTTCATTTGCAGCGTTACCCACTTCAGAAGTGAATCAGGCCTACTTCGCTCCCTAGGACCCTGCTGCCGAGCTGATGGCGGTGTTATGAGGGCTGGACAAATTCACATACCCTGGCAGCTGATGGCCACTGTGCTACTGGAGGAGGGGTATTTGTTGTAGGTGATAGATAAAAGTATATCATCTCTAATTCTGACACTGATTACAATTTTGCACCCAATTCCAATGTGTGTATTTTATCACCACACGAAGCAATTCTCCAACACCAGCTGTGTCCTACCATTCAACTCAGTTCTGGCACTATCTACTTGGAGATAGTGTCAGCTTCCATAGGTTAAGGGCTCAGTCCCCCAAGACTACCCCCATCCCCCAAATTCAGATCACAAGTTCAGGTTGTTACCTATGCTTCTGACCAATTGGCTATCGATCAGAAGTTCCAGTGGTGACACTGTCCACTTGGGGAGGTAAGACCTAAAGAAATGATGAACAAGCCACAGCTGCATATGCCCCATCGAGTGAGTGGGTGCCAACCAAAAAGTGTCCGAGGGAGGACCAAGAGAGGGACCACAATGCTGGGGGTTGGATGAGGTTCCCATGGAGAAACGCTGGCAGGCATGTGAGTGGAGAGGGACAAATCAGGGTGGACAAGGCACAGCACAAAGAACACAGGCGGTGTGGTGCACTGAAGGGGCCGTGACCAGCAACTTACTATTCTCTTTCTATCACTTTGTATCTGGGGGCCCTTCCACATACATCAGCTCAGGAAACAACTCTGCTGTCCTTCACAAGTCCAGCTAAGCCCTGGAACACACAGCCTTTAGTGATTTCAACTCACTAGAATTAAATGAACTCCCAACTATGTGTAAATCATTGTTAAGTATAGCAGGGTATGTAGGAGAGTAAAATATAGTCCCTGCCCTCAAGGACAGAAAGGATTTTCCTTCTGTCAGACAGCCAACGAAGGTGATTCTGGGATGACTCTGCAGCAGTGAAGCCTTACTTTTGATAAAGGGGAGCAAGCTCCAGGCAGCGTGGACAAGCCTCAGGGGAACTGGATTTGCCATCTATCAAGATGCTCCATTTGGGGCAGGGGTGGGGTTGGGAGTGGGGGTCCAAAAGGTATTCTGGTGACTCTGCAGTTTCCTTCTCAGAACTGGCTGCCAGGCTCAGTCAGTGCGTGTCTTCACAGTCTTCCCACTGTATTACTTCAAAAGCACAGAAGCTTGTCTCCAGCCAAACATCAGCTCAGAATCAAAAGCCAAAGGAACTGCAGATGTCCCTATAACTCATCCATGGCTGGGCCACTGAAGAACACCCCAATCAATGAGTGGTTTCAGACTCTGCAATTAATCCTGGAAAAGCAGCAGCATCAGGACAAGAATGAAAGAACCAAAATAAGACAATGCACGCGGGTAACTTCTAAATTGGTCAACCTTGGCCAAAGGGAGGTCTGGAAATTTTTGCTCTGCCTGAAACAAAGCAACCTCATCCTGTCTCTTTCAGTGCGGGTTAGGACTGTGGGAGAAAGCATAGTTGAGCACCATCTGAGACAAACTGAACTACAAACTTATCTTGGGCATGCTCTGTCTGATGATGTGGGGACTGCCATGATGGAGCAGTCCATGGAGAAGTTTCAGAACTTGCCAAGTTGTGTGGGCAGAGTTGCCACTTACATGACAGAATTGGCAGAGGCCTGTCAGTTACTTCTCAAAAAGTGAGTGGCAGGAATACTAAGCAAAGAACTAGCAACCTGGGTCAGTCAGAGGGCCTGTGACTGACGATTCTTGGTGGTGGTCAGCACTCACGGTGGCATATTTGACCTCCTAGTTCCTCAGATGGCTGAAGGTCAAATACATGGTGAGAAGAGGATCTCTGGAGCCTTGAGGTTCTGCGCTCTGAATTTTTATTTGAAAAATGTCTTTCAAAGGCAAAAACATACCAAAGGACATTTGGAAGTATTCTGAAGACTAAATTCACTTGCCCTAACTCTGTAACAGAAGCTTCAGCTCTTGCTTCAAGACAACTGAAGTGCGCTCCCCGCCACAGGCTATGCCTAGAGGAAGGGGCTCCCAAAGCAGAGTCTTCAGACTACCAAGCAGCAGCCTCCCCATACCCCTGCCAAAAAAACCTCAAAGTAACAGCTAGCACACAATCTTAAGACTCTTTATTTAAAGGAAGTATCTCTAAGCCAGGCTGCTGTGTAACGGAGCAGGAAAATCAACTGAAAATTGACTGATGGCCTTCAACCTTGGATGTTAACAAAATGTTTGCTACTGTTGTTTTTAAACTGAGCAGTCTATAACTCCACTTTCATGTTTACTTAAGAAAGCTCCATTTCATGAAAACTTAGGCTCTGAAGTGAAGAAGTGAGCACAAATCTCGTTGCATTAATACTCACGAGGCAAGAGTAAAAAGCTGCCCAGATAACCCAAGGTGAGGTGTCCCAAAGGAGGACACCATACAAGGAATCTGTCTGTTGAGAAAGTGGATGATTCGTCCTATTACTTTTTAAAAGAACTGTGCAATAACTTTTCGAGATGAATGATGTTTTAAACACACTGGGTTGCTAAAGCTGTCCGAAAAAATATCTGGGATCTAAGAAAATCTGGCAAAGCTATCTGAATGAACACCAATTTTTATCTATCCAAATGTTAAGATTATTTTTAAATGTTCATTTATAGATATTTGTACACTAGGGGAAAAAGTGTCTAGTGAGCAGACAGTTGGCCAAGGGAAAACAGATCAGTTGCCAGGCAGACTGTGGATGGTCTACATACACCCTTAACAAAGTATGTGACTGCTCCACAGAGTACAGGCCATCCTAGGATTGATGTGTTGCCAAGCTGCCACCAGAACGTTTCAAACTCCCCAGGTCACACTGTCTCAAGGTAACTCTGGAGATACAACCTCTGTCCTTCATTGTCTCAAAAAGGCTTCAATATTTTCATGGTCTCTCCTACCCATCTTTTCTTTTTTTTCCTTTTACCAATCTTCATACCAATTAAGGGCATTCCTGAGCATTCACTGGTTTCCAAAGACACTGCAATAAAACAGCCATATCCCTAGATCAGCAGTGGTTCTGAAGAAAGCATTGTTTATTATAGCACCAGATTGAATTAGAGAATTAAGAACTCTGTGCTATATTTCCAACTCTTTTTCTGGCCTCATGCTCACTGCTCCCTCTACCACTCAGTACCTCCC